TTTTTTTTTATTATTTGACTTCTGCAGCTTTTTTTCTGATTGCATGTCTCGATCGATTTTTTTTGAACTGTTTGATGGTATCTCAGGGCTGTAGCCAGAAAAAAGTTATGACTGAGACAATGTCCATGGTTAAATTCTCTTCAATCTGGCTCAAGGAGTTAGCTAACAATACCCGAACCAATATACTCAATACTGGCCTTCTCAGGATATTGGAACAATGTAAATGTTGTGTTTTATAGCACTGTGATGGACCTTTGCGATGAAAACACGTCCGATTAAACAGAGCTACGTCACGGTTTGATCATCTTGAAACATTTAGCCTGAATTTTTCGAGTTCGTTGTATATAATCCATGTTAATCTTCTCCATCCTTGACCATCCTAATGCTCCTTGATTGTTTATTACATATTATCTCTTAAGTGTTTTTCTACTCTACTAAACTATTATTTTTCAGGTTTTTTTGGTTTTTTTTTCCATGCACAGGTAATTTTGTGCAAGGCCAAAATACCGTGACTGAGCTCCTTTAAGGACCTTCGTGCCCATTGTTACTGCGCATCCTTACTGCGCACGTAATTCGTGTCGCAACATTACCCCACATCAAGCTTTTCCGAAAGTCCTTAAGGTTAAAGACATTAGGCCGGCATTATTTTGAGCATAATAGTAAGGCAAAAGAATGCCGGAATAATAGTCACAAAAGCTGGCTGATTCCGGGACTTGGGCAGGTCAAGAGCAATCTGTTACTACCTGGTGGTCTAAACATAAAAGAGAGCTGTCAAATTGGGTTTCCGCATGTAAGAGGGTTTTGCTAATCTAACCCTCTTCTGTTTCAGCTGAGCGATTTTTTTTGTCTACTTGAAAACTCAGTTCGTAACAGTCAAGCCAAAGCAATGGAGAATTACAATGATTCGTCACTCAGGCTTCATGCAATAGTATCTGTCCTATTGTGAGCGTAATAGAGCATCATTGTGACGCCTTTTGAGCATAACAGCGAGACGTTTTGAGCATCGAGCATTAACATAACAGTGAAAATTTGAGAATAATGTGTAAAACTCTTGAATTCCTTTGGGTAGCAGACCATTTACGTTTTGCTTCAGTGAGCCACACAGTTCGGAACGCGCGCGAGGAAGAAGACAGCCCTCGTCTAATCTTTTTACTCAAACCAAGCGTTGTTCTCTTTCGCTCGTTTCAGATACAATGAATTGCTCGCAGCAGTGTTCAATGAAAGGAACCCTTGATATCTTTATACACTTGCACTTCAGGCTATATATAGTGTGTGCAAAGAAATTTTAGATAAAAGCTACAACTATCAGGGAAATTTATATCTCGTTGGAACAACATCTTCGGACCACCAGCCAATCGAGACTATCAAAAGTCCAGATAGCGTTTACTGATGGCGGAGAATTTTAAAATTACAACTTTAACTGTAGATCTGCATTATGTACTGGTAAGTAACACCCAAGCACCGCGGTCCCCATCCCTACCATCTCAAGTGAATTCATTTAGTAAATAGTATTAATAAACTTGGTCTAGCTTGTGACATTGATATTCGGCTGCAGAAAAAAAGCGGTCCTAAAAGCTTGACGTGAGGCGAGGTCCACTATTATGCCGCAAATTTTTAATCAAATAATTGAAACACAATTATATTAAAATTATATTTGTTTCAGAAATGAATTCATTAGGACTTGCTATGACCACTGGTGCAAAAACGCAGTTAAATTTTATCGTTTCATGACCAAAGCGGGCTTGTGCAAAATTATTTATTTAAAATTAATTATTTATAGTGCAGAAAACAATAACGTCGTTAGTCAAAAATAGCGCCAGGATATTGCGCGAGGCGGTTTTAGCATAGAGCAAGAGAAAACAATATAATATTCGGTAATTAAAATCATTTCTGCACATAAAAACAACCTGCGCGTTAAAAAAAAAAAAAAATTAAACCGATTAGACAAGGTGCAATGAATTTCTGCTCTGTTGTTTTTGGAATTGCTTAGTCATCAGCCGATGAAGGCTATCGAAGGCCATCGAAAATCGGAAATACTTATCAAATTATTGGTTGAAATACTAATTCGCCGACGTGATAGTGGTGTAGCGGCGATGAGAAAAAGAGACATTTCGTATACGTGTCTACTTGAAGGTTTAGGTACTCCTTTCAATCTAAGGCACAAAACTGTCATTTCTCTCCTCTAAAGAGCGCCTGCCTTAGCGATATAAAATGCCAAGCCGTTTTGGATCTACAAATTCCCTGCTGGTTTGGTTCGGTAAGTTTGTAAAAACTAAAAGCAACATCTAACCTGCACTGTGATGTGTCTGACAGGCTTAAGGTGAAAGGCACGTAAAGTTGTTGCAGTTTAGTCTTTTGAAGCTTTATTTAAAATGTGTTCATTAGATTATTTTTCATTGCCGTGGCTGAAAAGTTAGGACAAACGTTTATATTGTAAATCACAGTTTTACCTGTGCTGAGGTCGGGATTCCCCTTAATTTAGCAACTGAAAGCTGTTTTTCTACAGGTTCTTCTCTCGCTATAGATTTAACTGCTGTTAAATTAGTTTCTGTCCGTATGGCACCCACGCCATTAAGGCTCCTATATTGGTAGAGGGCGCTGATGTTGTCAAAGTAGAAAACGATCATTGACAAATTGCTCATGCAAGCCCAAAATAAACTTTGCTGCGTGCCATTTTCCACGATCGTCTTTCTTTCTGCCTTTCTCGAGACAATTGAACGTACCTCTAGTCAAAGAAGGACTGCCTCATACCGCCTTCAGAACTAACTTTCCGCAATATTCGTACGTGGATATGTCTAAATAACGTTAAAATTACCGTACAAGTAAGGAAGGCACGGTTTTAGGGAATTTGCGTCGTCAAGTGCCCTGGCGTCAAGAAACGCACCATCGCTTTATGATTCGATTACTATATTGCATGAATACAAAACAGCTCTTCCTTTTACTTGGAAAGACAAGTTTTACCGAAAATATTAATTGCGAAGAAACAGACAATAACCATCAAAATTCCACTTTCTCTCGAGCGTTTAACTTCCACACGCTTAATCTAGACCAACTGTATATGATCTGAATCATAATCTCTTGTCTAGACCTACTAGTAAATCCCAAAACAGCGGTTTCTGTAGCTTTGCTCTAGTTAATAGCTAAGTGTCTCTTTCCTAATATAGGTAAGGGGCCAAACTATATCCGCGAACACATAACCAATAATATAAACTTTCACACCAGAAAAAAAATCCCATTTCGCTGCTTTTTAGCTGGTTCTCGAGTTTGCACTCTTCTTCATGGACTGATATTCTCTTTGGCTTTCAGTACGTTTTCATTTCTCGTCCCACCCTGCCTAGATGTCTAAAATCTAAAGCATTTTACACATTACTGATCGCTTTGAAAGTAATCGAATTAAACAGTAAGATAACATTAAGATTTTAGAAGATATTTTAAAGAGTATATATCGCAGGAATTCTCTAATGTATGCGTGTGCACGCAGGTTTGATGACAACCATAGCAATAGACACAAGTAGAACTGGTGAGTGAATTCTTTTATTAGCGTAATCTTCTGCCAATTAACAGGGTCATAATAATGTAGCCTGTTCCAGGCTTTCGGTCGGTGGAGACAATCGAAAAAGCGGACGGGCGACGAGCGGGATCTAAGGGAAAAAAGCTCTCTTTTTTTCCAGACCCCGCTCGTCCTCGGCCCGCTCTTTTTGGTCGTTCCTACTGACCGAGAGCCTGGAACAGGCTATGATAAGGCGTAACCGATTTATGAGATTTGCTCAATTCAATTTGGAACTGTCAACCGGAGGGAATTGACGCATTTTTCACTGATGCTTAGGTGAGATCTGAGATGTACAAAATTTCCTGATAGCCCCTGTACTGTGATGTAGCTGAGAAATGGATGGAAACTCCGGCAATTTTACTGATAACTTAGATTTCATCATTCTTCATCTAGACCCTGGAGGGATCTAACTGATAAGGTTCATCTACGCCAGGCACTTCCCAAGTGGATTCCAGTGAACGAAGTTTTTCTCTTTTTATTTAGCTATCTGTCCAGGTGAAGGTAACATCACAGATTCACGAGGAACCTTGCAGAGTCCGGGCTACCCAAAGGCTTACCCAAAGAGCACAGTTTGTGTTTGGGTCATAACAGCTCCACGAGGCGAATACGTGAGGCTTCTGATAAAAGCAATAGACTTAGAATACTGCGTTCTGTGCCATTGTGATTATGTGGAGGTGAGAGAAGGAGCAAGCGCCGATGGTCAGCTTATTGGCAGGTTTTGCAATCAAAAGAGGACAACTGTTTATTCCGAGGGAAGACAGTTGTGGGTGAAATTTAGATCAGACATGGCGTACCAGCGAAAGGGATTCTCCGCAAGCTTCTCGAGGATAAAATTACGAAAGAGTAAGTCCATGTGAATCTTTTTTATGGTTCTGGGATGTCAAGGAAAACGTGTCAGCAAAAGGCTACTGAATATCGTTTGATGGCGGTAAGGTACGCTTAAGTCTGTATACGAGCTAAGTATTCCCTCAGGCCGGTGCTTATCCCGGTTTCTGTAGCATGACGCGACTAGGAGTATTACTACTCCCCCCTGGATGGGATGCTAGTCCATCGCAGGGTTGCCCTTAGCAGTTTGATGGCGGAATCTCCCATAATACAGAAACAGTAAGGGCTATGAGCTGCAACATCCCTATTATTTTTTCCTTTTATTGTTTTCCAGTTTTGTTGAGCAGAACCATAGAATTAGCACTTTCTCTACATTCAATTATCACTTAAGAATTTTTCGTCAATGTTCGTCACACTTTCTAACTTTGGAGAAAGGACTGAATTTTAAGATGGCGGATTTTGTGATGTCATTTGACGCCATCAGTACACATTTTGTAGAGGAAGCTCAACCTCGATCCCAAGCTCTCTCTCCTTTGTCCCCCTTCTCCCGATTAGGACATTCGCGTTCCAATAGCCCTTTTTGCTTCTCATAGCCGGCGGGGCCTTGGCAGAGAAACGAAGGGCTCCTTGTTTCTCGTACCATGGCCCCACTGGCTAAGGGAAGCGGAAAGGACAATCAGGACGAGAATGCGACCAGGGAGGCAAGGGAGACAGAGCCTGGGATCGATGTTGGAGCATTAAAATTTTAATAACCACCCCACTCCCTCGTTCCTCGGCGGGGATCTGAATTTGGAGAAAAAGTGTATGTCCAAGGGTTAAGGGAGGCTTTAAATCTTGTGTTTTTCTGTGGTCGTAGCAAGAACCAGCTCGATCGTAATAGAAAAACGCAGGACCAGGTGACAACGAGATGTTTTGTTGTTGTTATTATTGTTGCTGTTATTGGCACATTATTACCCAAGCTCGGCCTCTTTTGTCTTCTTTTCTACAGAAGAGCCAATCTTTCTTCACGCCAATGATACGTCTGGATTCATCAAAAGTTCCAATAACCCAGCCGTTTGTGGCTCCGGCAGACAGTGCACCTGGGTAATTTTCGCACATGAAGGGTACAATGTGCAGCTCGCACTGGGATTATTTGAATTTCCGTCGTGTTTTGGATCGTACATAGAAATCAGGGACGGCCCTAGATGTTCAAGCCAACTCATTGGAACGTTCTGTGGTGATGAGAGGCCTCCACCTGATCTCTGTTCTTTAGGAAACAGTTTATACATAACATTTAAATACAACTCCACAAGAGACTTACAAATGAACCGTTTTGAGCTGTTGTACAGAGAGGTCCAGTGCACTAAGCAAGCACAAAAGAACCTAATATTTACTGAGCCAGTGAACTCTGGTAAGAAACTGTAATATGGTTGAAATGCTTGTGATTAATACCCTACACTGTTTCTTTTGTTTAAACTTGATAAATTCTTTAAAAGTAAGTTTTAGCAAACACATATCGTTTTTAAACTAAAAGGTTAATTTCCTTCCTAAAGTATGATCATTAGGGGTGAAAAATGAGGTAGACTATGGCAGGCGTTATGTTGTTTTCTACGCTCTTGGTTTTATAAGAATATTTTTATAAGAATATCGAGTCCGAAATTAGCCATATTTTAAAAGCATGTTTACAACATACCCAAGGCTGAATTTTGTTAAGAAGATTTTTGTGTGTTGATGGAAAATAACTTACAATAAAATCACATGTGTTTAAATATGAACACTATTTTACCATTGAAAAGTATGGTAAATTCTTTCTTTTTCTCTAACAAAACTAGCTCACAGAAAAGATGAAAATGTTAATGAATAATTATCATTTGCTTTGCAGAACACTGGAGAAGCATGGCTGTTGGAATCGCCTGTACAAGTTTCTTTCTTTTCGTAGTTTTAGTGGGCTGTTTTCTTAAGATTGCCAGCAATCATCGCTTTGCAGGTTTAGAGCGTGCGACTTCACAGATCGAGTTGAATCCATTCGAGTCCTCCATCACCGAGGAAACTACTCTGTGCAATGACGGGGAACAATTAAGTTGACATTTAACAAAAGAAGGACAAGATACGGTAAAAAGACGAGACAGAAAAGATTATTAACTCATCTTCACTTGGCCATGTCAGGACTGTTAATGAGTCGAAGGATTGATATGACACTCCATTTGAAAGGCCGGAAGAAGGCGACAGTGAATGTATGAAACTAAATTAAGAAAGAAGTTATTTTGAAAGTGCGCGATGGAACTTTATACTGTGCTGTTGATTGCACTTTACGTTGACAGTTTGCAGCGAGAAGTGGCTTCTCTGATATGTGTATATTGTGCTCTGCTCCCCCCCCCCCC